CTTTCGGACCGAACCTCAATAAAAACTCGGCTTCTGGAGCCGATCGGACCGAACCAGACTTTTAACAGCCCTAAGTAAGGGTTAGTAATGTTAGTATTAATTTCACCCTTTTTTCTACCGTTAATGTGCGCGTATCTACGTACTAGCGCTAGTACAGGAAGTAACGCCCGATTTGGATGTGCTACATCAACATAAATTTAAACGTGGAGTTTTCCCCTTTTTGTTATTGTTGACTAAATTTTTTTCTTCAAAATTTGTTGGCTGTAAATATAACACATACTGTCTCCAGTTGACCGACTTTGACGAGGGTAAAATGGTAATTTTTATTGGGGTTTGAGTGCCGTGCAAGTTGCAAGAAAAATGAGCCGTGACCCGATGACGGGATAATGGTCTCTTGCCAAATACAAGAGAAATAGGAAAAAAGAAAATTTACCAGCGTCTGAAAGGTCACAAGCTCTTAACAAGAAAGCAAAAAATGCACATTTCCAAGAAAAGACAGCTTAAGCTATTTCGTGACATTGTCAACAAAAAATCTTTACCCGAAGTTTCTTTAAAGTAATTTTATCCTTTTTCTCATTAATTTGAAAAAATATGGCGGTTCAGTTTAATCCTAAACCTAATTCTAAAAAGATCACGAAATGAACCAATTAACTTATTCCCCCAGATCTGGCTTCATAGAAAACATCTAGAAATCATTGTAGAACAATATTCTAAAATGTGAAAGCTTTTCAAACACTGGGAACAAGCTCAAGACTGCTCTGAAGGAAGTGTAGTCAAAATTTAATGTGTTAGTTTGGGGAGGTTGTGAGCTCGATGCCGTAAGGAATTGAGGTAATATTGAAGTCATATAGAGGGTGGTTAATGTATTAGTTAATGGTAAAAAATTTTATGTATATAAAGCAGAAATGAAATAAAACGAATATATATATAATTTTATTTTTAAAAAAATCGGGCGTTACTTTCTGTGGCGACTACATTAACGTATTTTTTTTTTCACATAATTTTGAGTGTAGAGTTCACGAAATTGATCATAATGTAGAATTTATGCCGCTTGATTTTTGTAATTGTCGGGATTTTGGTATGTCTGAATGTTGGGCATGTCGATGTCGGGATTTTGGGAGTCGGGATGTTGGACAGCACCCATTCTCGAGAGTTAACCATACCCCTTCTAACCTAATAATAATATCCCTATAAAACTATAAACAAAAAAATACAGTACTATATTCGGCTATATATCATTATGAGATATTTCTGAACTCTATATTGGCTTTTGAAATACCAACAGCTTTATATTCTATGCAGAACAAAATTACAGTATATTGTTTCGAACATGAATGTGTCAAGTATCCAACATCAATAGCGATAGATAATTCCTAGCCAAAAAGTTATTATTCACTGAATAACGACCGATGTATGGTGGCGTTCAAGCAAGCATCACTTCTTAACGTTAATTATCAAAATTTGCTGAATTATAAATGGAACGCCGCCGCCATGATCCATCGCCATTCAGACTAACATTTTAAGAAAGAAATTTCATTAGCAATTTATCCACAAATCAATAAATCCGACTAAAAAACTAACTATGTATACTAAATCCACAAAACAGCACATATCGATATTAAACAACGAATTAGACTAAAATGTTCTCATGCTCTATATCGATATGTGTCCATTCTCAGAGCTATTGGTCGACCTTTCCATATTGCAGTTTGAGCCAAAATTGGTTACACCTATAGAATGCAAATGTTATCACAAATAAAGTTTTACAAAACAAACCAAAACAAAACAAAATATCATCTCAAAAATAAAAACACACCATTTAGAATCATCAAGACTCATCTCCCCACTCTCCTGAAAAACACGAAACCACTTAATTGCCTCATGCAGATCCAACTGTGCTCCATATCCCTTATCAAAGCATTTCGCCAGTCTCAAAGCTGCCCGCCCATGATCCTCTTTATGATTCGTAGCACACTGTCGATACCAATAGAATGCACGTACACGATCAACTTTAGGGCACCCGAATCCTTGGGCATAGCAATCGGCAAGCCGTTTTTTCGCATGTGGGTATCCGTTATTCGCAGCTTTTCGATAATACTCAAACGATAGACTGGGTCTCGAGTGTGCATAGTATTTAGCAAGCAGTGCTTGCGCACGTGGGTAATCTTGTTTGGCGGCTTTTTTGTACCATTCTATTGCGTGATCTTTTAGCTGTTTGTTAACACCGATAGCGTGGTAGTAGCAGTACCCTATTTCTACTTGCGCTTCTGGATTACCTGACTTCGCTGCTTTTTCGTACCAGTGTTTTGCTAGACGTGCGCTTCGATATTGTTTCGAAGCGTAACGATAGAATTGTGCAAGTTGAATTTGCCCATTTAAATAATTTCTCCGCGCAGAAATTTCGTACCAGTGCAATGCTTTCGAATCATCCATCGATGTCCCATCACCATAAAAATAACATTGTCCTAAATTCATTGCTGCGATAGCATTACCTGACTCAGCAGATTTCATAAACCATTTTAATGCTTCTTTATGATCCTGTTTCGTCCCAAATCCTTCACTAAAACACCATCCAAGTTCATTCTGTGCTAGTGGATCTCGTGTTTTTTCAGCTGCCACTGTGTACCAATAAAATGTTTTTTGGGGGTCAATTCTTGTACCGATTCCCCAACGATACAAAAACGCGAGTAATGCTGCGTATTGGTACTTATTTTTATTACTAGGGTGGTGTTGATATTGATAGTAATCTAGAACTTTGGCGAAACAATCAGAAGCAGAGTAGTTTTTTTGTTTGAGCCATTCTTCGACGATTTTCACGATTTCTTCATCGGATTTTAGTTCTTTGTTTGATTTCTTGAAAATGTGTAGTAGTTGATCGGTCGGTGATGTCCAATAGGAGTCGATAAATAGTTTTAAAAAATTCATTTTGACGCTCTCTTTTTTGTTGATTGAATTTCAGGAAATCGTAAGAATAGCAACCAAAAGGAGATGAAAATTCAAGAACAAAGAAATATCCACGTTTTTTATTAACCATACTCCTGCAGACTGCATTGATATAATCAGCATCACAGAAACTGATCATTTCCCGCAACGGACTTTACAAAAATACAACTACATACGAACTGTATTCTAAAAACTACAACTTTTTAACTATTTTTCCGCCTCAAGGACGTCAACTTTATTCAAAGAAGAATTGGTTTCCTTTTTTCTAGAAGATCTAATTAACTCTTCCAAATCCCCAATATCAACAACGTAGTCTCTAAGCAACAGCTCTAACCCTGCGCTCCGTCTTTCAAGAATCTGGATCCGGTTCAAGACAAAACTTAAGTCGTTTGTCGCTACTGCTGTTGCCGCCGTCTTCATATCATCGTGTTGTTGTTGTCCGTTTTTGTTGGGAAATTCGTCAACGAGCGGGACAAAATCGCCAAACTTCGATTGTAGTTGTCTTCGAAGAGATCCTCGTACCATCGGGAGTTCTTGTGAAAGTCCCCATGGTCCTATTTGTGCCGAGCCTTGTTTATGTTCGTATCGAAATTGGGAGAAAATTATTCAATGATATTAAGCTAGAGTTCGGAGTCGGTTTTATCTTTTTTTATCTTAATATCTAAATTAAAGATAAAACCGACTCCAGGCTCTATATTAAACTTTTGTAAGAATAATCGAAATGTGAATTTGTTATTACCGAAACAAAAAGCATATACTCCCATTCCGAGACCAAACGCACCACCGAGAGAACTTAGCAGATTCATAACCTTATAAAAACAAATATTCTGTTATAACAAGGAATATTTTCTCTATGAAATATCCAGACATTCACCCACCGTCTTATCCCTATTCGAATATTAAAAAAGCAAGAATAAGAATCTAATAAAAACAAATGCAGTTCACATCTCCAAATAAAGAAGGGGATATTGTTACTTGATTTGTTCATTCGTGGTCACTATGCGTGATTGATAATATATTTCTATAGTGGTAAATGGTTTAAAAGTTGTGCGATTTTGTGGACTGACCGTCTCTATTCAGTTTTGTATCATTATTTTTAGTAATGTGATTTGATAAGTAAAGTAGAAAGAATTTAAAAACGTACGTATTTGAGATGTTATTACAAAATAATCATTTGTCACGGTGTTTATTCCAGCACCATTTCGAAATCGATGACCATCTAAGTCTTTATTTTGGGCTCTCTTGAACCAAATTACGTGTCTCTATTTGAAACCAGAAAAATAATAATTTATATAAAGACAAATTAATAATGGATGATACAAAATACATATACGTACTTGATATGGTGAAAGAATATATGCATTTTCCAGATTAAATGCTTCTTCTCTTGCGTCTACCGACTCTTTCTTACCCGCAGAAAAATCGATTTGACCAAAATCTATCTCAAAGAAAAGTATTCTCGAATAAGATCGAAATCTCCACAATATAATAAAGCAAAGAATAAAGTAGGAATCTAACCAGCATCCACAAGTCTAAACACCATTCCAGAACTCATTGCTGATTCCGCATCGCTAAATTGATTCTGTGTACTCGAATTCACAAAAATTTGTACCGATATTCCAAAAATCCCGCCTTGGGAAAAGTACACTTGTTGTTGCTGCTGTTGTTGTGATTTGGTGTTGACATTGGTCGATGAAATCTTATTTCCCCAGCTCATTGAGTATTTGGTTGTGGATTGGTTTTGAGAAAGAAGGTTGTTGCATGGTGTCGGGGAGTTTGTGTAAATGTTTTCGTCTATTTATTATATATAGCATTAGAACAAAGTGGTGGCTGGTTTTTTTTTTGATAGTACAAATAAATCTTAACCTACTTGAGTCTACATAATTACAGGTAGCTGTGAATGAAAACGGCGAAGTAACAGAAAAAGCTTTTTCAAAAAAAAATAATTAATAGAAACTCGTATTTCAAATCGAAGAATCAACCCAAACTTGCAACAAAAAAATAACGATAAATACAAGGAGCTGGAATCTGTATCACCGGAGTCGTACTAGTCTCAACATGTGGATTCTCGGATGCGATGCCTCTCACCAAATACCCCAGATATCCCAGACTTATGAAATAGAGACAATACATAAAGAAATATTTGATTATTCGATGAAATGTTGGCTCTGTTTCGCGTGCTGGAACCACGTCGATGAATAGTTTTTTCAGCAGTCTTCTTATGGCATTCATTCTTATATTGAGGCAAGTATGTTTTTTAATGGTGGGTTAATTTTAATAAGAGAGTTAGAAATATGTGATTTTGAGTAAGGAGATTTGATCAGGGAGAAAAAGAAAAGGAATGAAGAGTTATTTCTGAAAATAAAGAAAGTCAAAGAAATAAAACATAATCACAAACAACAGCAACATAAAAATTCAATTATTTCTATTAGAATTTATACATGAACAATACTTTTCAAATCTGTAGTGTAATCCATTTATGCACGATGTTGTTGTTCTTAATTTCATCCAACCACTTAAATTTTCTGATTAATTTGTGCATGTAACGTATTGGTATGTGTGTGCAGTATCGAGTATGGTATGTAGCGGTAGTTTTTCATTCAAATTTATTTGTTAATCACAAAAATGGTAATTACCGTTACATGTACATGTACATTAAAAGTTTCTCGGATATTTGTATTATATACATGCTATAATACATGTACGTACATGTATATCCCATTTACCAACTCATATACAAACATCCTCCGCAACAAACCTCAATCGCACATACGTCAACACCCACTTTCCCGTCTCCTGATTATACGCGACCGGACGACATATTTCTTCACACTCGCGTTTAACAGCCTCGATTTCTTCCGGGTGCCCTAATACCTTGAGAAACGCGAAGCCAAAAGTCTCGATCCATCCGGAAAGTGATGTTGGGAGTGGTGTGGGGCGTGGAATTCGTTGCATGTGCGTTATGTTGAATGCGTTTTTGGTGAGTATTTGTGTGTATGTTTCGGATGTTAAAAATTTCCTTTTGGTGATTGAATTTTTTGAGGATTCATTTGTTATTAGTGAGTTTAAAGGGAATTTATATATTACAAGTATGGTGATCCTACTAACCATGGAGATAATTCTTTTCCGTTGAATCCTCGTTTATCGAGAGATGCGATTAATGCATTTTCGATTTCTATTAATTTGTCAAAAATTTTAATAAATTCTTCAACTAATACTAACTAGAGCTGGTTGCCTAAACTGTTTAATAAAGTGAAAACTAAGTTTTGGCTATAACTACCATATTGTTGGTAGTCAAGAACACAGCTCTAATACTTACAAATGAATGAAATATTAAATTTACCTTGACAATTTCCTGAACAACCCATCTCTGCTACAAATATTCCACCTGGCTTTAAGCTTTTCCGAACTCCTTCAATTACAGCTTCAATATTTTTCATCCAATGCAACGCTAAATAAACGACAATTATTCACCAAAAATAATCGTAAAAAATAAAACTCAACAAAAGAATCAAAAGAATAACGCGCTCTTTACTAACCAGCATTAGAAAACACCTTATCAAAGACACCCACAAACCCCTCGCTCTCCACCCACTCACTCAACCGATCCGCATCAACAACCCTTACATCACGACATCCATTACTTTTCGCTGCTGCCACCATATTCGCACTTTTATCAATCCCGATACACAATTGACATTGATTCTGGATTTGAACGGTGAGTTTTCCATCGCCACATCCTATATCTAGGATTTTTTCATGCGGTTGCGGTGAGAGAAGGGCTACAAGGTCGGTGGTTACTAGTGATGGGACGAATGATGCATGGATGTGGTAGTTGATTGATGACCATGGATCATTATCATTTTGAATATTTTCGTTCTTATTTTTAGCTTCTGTTGAGATAATATCATTCATTGTTTTCGATCTTTTGAATAGATTGAATTTCTCTCTATTTATATATTTAGCTTATCTCAAGTATGACTCATATTTTATTAAGATTACGTATTTGGAGTCATTGCATCTCAATTAATTTTATTGTACACTCGGCAGAACAAAGTCACCGTACACTTTTTTGTGAGACAATCATGTGGACATTAATGAGAAAACTTGCATTGATGTTCTAAATACATAACGATAGATCCTGCATGTTCTGAAGTTTTTATACATTAACTTCTTGACTAAAAAGTAATTTTAGTATAACATACTTCAGAACATGCAGAATTTATCGTTATGTACGTACGTATTTAAATCATCAATGCAAGTTTTTTTTTAATTCCCTCGCCATGATTTTGTGAAGTATGTAATCTATATTAAAATTTTACTCTTGAATATTCAGAATATTTTGAATCTATAAATTTATAACATCTAGATTAGTTTTTGCATTAATTGACTTATTAAAAAAAACTTGAAATTTTCAGTATATTAAAACAATACATAGTCACTCTTGATAAACCGGATCGGAAATTTTATTAATATAATAAATCACTATAATACCGGATTTTTTGAAATTTTGTCGGAAAATGTGCAATAATCCCGTATATGATTTGGGAACCGGTCCCAGCAAATTCCTTAGCCATTCGAGTAAATCCGCAATTTTTCATAGTACCGTAAATAGTACACCTCCTTGTAAATACTGTCTGGCTTATGCGCAGACATATCAATGGTGCATATTTTTATTTATAACAATGATAAGAAAAAAGAAAAATCTGTCTATTACTGTATTTGAAATTTCACTCACAACTTCATTCTAATAACTGTTAAATTATCTCTGTTCATTATATTCTACAACATTTAAACGAATTTCGAATTAAATTTGGGTCGAGAGATTTCCATGCAACTTCTATTCGTTCAGTACCATAGTTTTTAATATGTCTTGAGGGAGTTAATTCATGAATTGCTTTTGACACCCATTGGTTATATAGTGCACTAATCTTTTTAAAGTTATTTTTAAATATGTATGTATCTTTATTTTTAAATATGTATGTATATCTTTATTTTAACTTTTTTTTTAAAATATGTTTATTTTAAACTTTTATTAACAACATCTAATGGTTATAGTTTAGATATCAATCTACCAAAAATTATGGCTAATTATATGTTTTATTAAAGAATTGAAGTTTAACCAAATCAACTAAATGTGCACGAAATGAGTCAAAAGCCAAAAGAGAATATGGATTATTGAAAGACCAAATATTTTTGATTCATCAAAGCATTTCTGTTTATTAAACCCATTCTTATTTGCACGAATAAATATCTTATTCAGAAAGCTTCTTGGAGTACACAAAAAACTTTATAAGATAAAGTCATTATAAGATAAAGTGAATCTCATATAATTTTTTTGTTTACAAAATATAATAAACTATAATTAAATTTATCTATAAAAAAATAACCAGACTGAAGACTTTAGTTTATAGAGTTTCACTATGTATATTTATTCATTTAAAAATACAAATTGGAGTTTTTATTTTTTAAAAAATGAATTAATCTCATATAACTTATTTAATTAAATTGAATAAAAATAAGTCGCATATTTATTGAGATTTAGTGGAATTTTGTGTTTCAAAAAAATCAGTAACTTTAAAATATAATATCTTATAAATTATTCAAATTATTTTTGTAAAAATTACTATTATTTATTTATCAAATCTAGATAATTCTAATAAAAATATATTGAAAATAATGCATTTATTTTAATTTTGAACAAAATATTAATTTAAAATATAATATTTAATAATTATAAATTTAATTTATATTATGATTCAATACAAAAAGTTTGTATCTTAAAATAAAAATTAATAATTATTTCTAATAAAAATCATTCAGAATTTAACTAATTTCTATAATTTTTTAATATTAAATAAAGAATAACCTAAACTAATTATTTATATTATTTATATTATGCATTTTATACTTTTATTCAAGAATAAATAATACAATACTTTTCTAATAAACAAAATAAAAAATATATTTTAAGTATTATTTTATCAATTTGCTATATTAAAACTTCAAATTATACAAGTATATTACTATAAATTTGATAAAAATTTATTTTAAATTTTATAAAAATTAAAATAGTAGTTATTGTGAAATTAAGTCTTAAAGTTTAACAATTAATTTATTACTATATTAATTTTATATAATAAAATCTATAAGATAAAAATTCAAAAAAGTTATTACTAGTAAAAATTTTTTCTATAAAATATATATAAGTAATATATATATATAATCCTAATATTTAATTACTTAATTAAATATAAAATTAAAATATATATATTAAAATATTTAATAATTTAATCAAATAAGATAGAATTAAAATTTTATTTTAAAAAATAATTTATTAATAATTATTTGAAATATGAAGCTTTTTGTACTGAATTATAAAATATTACTATTTAATTTATTAAAACTAAATAAATTAAATAATATTTTTTTGTTTAGATTAAAATTTTCTGTTTTAAATCAAATTTTTAATATAATTTTATAGTATTTATTTAAAATAATCTATTTTTATAATATTTTATAAATTATATATACTATATTAAAATTTTCTAAGTATAAAAAATTACAAATACTAAATATAATCCAGTACAAAAATATTGATACACAAAAAATAAAAGTGAATAATTACTTCTAATAAAAGTTATACAATATATAATTAATATTTATAATTTTTTTTATATTAAGTAAAGTATCTCTTAATATAACTTTTTATATTATTTTATACTTTTATTTAAAAATAAATAAGACAAAACTTTTCACATTTGAACAATAAAATTTGTAATTTTTAAATAATTTTTAGGTATTATTGTTATAAATTTATATTTTTAGAAATTTATACTTAATAAGTATATTAATATATATATAATAAATATATATTGCAAATTTTAACAAAATTAGATCATTGATTATAAAATAATTTGATATAATTTGATGCAAAAAAATATATATATCACTTTGCTATTAATAAAAAAAATTTTATTTTTAATTTTTTTATTAAATATAATATTTAATTATAATTAATATATTTATATAATTTTTTTATTATATATAAATAAAAATAAAAAATTTTATTAATCAATAACATTTTCAATTTAATTATTTTAATTTTTTTATATAGTAACTTATAATTATTTTTTATAAAATATATAAAGAAAAAAATTAAAATTTTAAAACTTAATTTTTCAATAAATAGTGATCCAATTTTGCTAAAATTTGAAATATATATTTATTATATATATATTAATGCACTTTTTGAGTATAAATTTCTAAAAATATAAATTTATAATGATAATACCTAAAAATTATTTTTAATTTTTAAAAATTGCAAATTTATTGTTAAAAAGTGAAAAGTTTTGTCTTATTTATTCTTAAATAAAAGTATAAAAAAATACTAAAAATAATATAAAAAGTTATATTAAGATATACTTTACTTAATATAAAAAAATTATAAATATTAATTATATATTGTATGACTTTTATTAGAAGTAATAAATAACTTTCATTTTTCGTATCAACATTTTTGCACCAGATCATATTGATATTTTTTATAATTATTAAAGCTCAGATATTATATATTTATAAACTTTTATATTACAAATATAATTAATTATTTTGTAATATATTTTAATAATTAATAATTAATTTTTAATTTTTAATATTCAATAATTACTAAATAGCAAAATATTATATTTTAAAATAGCAAATTTATATTTTTTGATATTAATAAAAATTAATTTTGTTTTCCAAATAGTTAATTCAAATAAAAATATTATTATTTAATTAATATTAACTAGATAAATTAAATAATATTATTTTTGTTTAAATTAAATTACTAAAAATCAAGATATTATATCTTAAATTGATCAATTTATTTTTTTAATAATTAATTTTTAATAAAATATTAATAAATATAAATTTATTATTTTAGAATATAATATTTTAATATTTAGTAATTTAATTTGAACAAATATTACTATTTTATTTGGCTAGATTAAATAAATGAATAGTATATTTTTGCTCAAATTTAATAATTAAATATTGAGATATTATAGTTTAACGTACTAATTTATTGTATTTGAAGCATGAAAATTATAAATATATAATATCTGATATAGAAGTTTTATCCGATTTATAAAAGTATTAATAATTAGTATTTTTTATGCTCAGAAAATTTTAGTACATTATATCTGTTCTATAAAAAGTATGAGAGAAAGATTATTTTTGATGAGCACTATAAATTTTATAACTAAAAAACTGGATTTTTATCTTAATATTTTTTATAGGGAAGATTCTTATTCACCAATTCTCTAATAATAAAATTTTGAAATTGCTGTTGTTCAATAATGATATTTTTGTAATTGCGAATATTTATTATTTATTTCTGTAACTGTTTGAACTGGATATATTAAATCTTTTACTTGTTTTCTTAATACTGGCTTATAATAAGCAATTATCATTAATTTTTCTTGGGAATACCAGTTTCTTTGTAATCTTTTTGTTATATATACTTTTAAAACACTTTTGTTACTAGTTATGACCATTTTAAATTGATAAATTTTGTTCAGACAACATTCAAGTATTTATATATACGTATTTATCTTTAACAATGATAATGCTTGTGTGGATATTCCTATACTTTGTAGATGATAATAACAATAAAACTTGAATATAATTAAAAGCTAATATTGTAATTGTCATATTAGAAGAGGTAAAAAAAGTATTCTTGCTCAATATTTCCGATTCGTCTTTTATTTCCTGAGAGATCGTGACCAGCTAATTTATTTATTTATTTCATAATGATAAAATTTTCTAGTGCATTGTATGTATTTTCAACTAACTCACAAATGGTAATTAAAGAACTAATAATTCATGACGATAAGACTATGAATAAAAATATTGATATATTCATGCATAAGTTGGCAAGTATTTTACAGGGAGGGGGTACTATAAACCGCGATTTACGGTAATAGGGCATTAATAAAATTTTTCCATTAGTTTTCCCACTATTATTTCGCGAATGATGTCGGTGGCTTGGTGTACATCGACAATTTACGATGTTAATCACTCAGTGGAATAGTTTCACTAATTATCAAATTCATTAGAAATTCTGTTAGATAAGATGCTAGCTTTGAAGACCAAGCTATATCTAAAATTTCGCGCTGAGCATGTTACTTAAAGTTAGTTGTCTACGTATTTGCAATTTTCGTTTTTGCGTGTTATGCTTGATCTTGGTCAAATTTGTGTGTTACACCTGATCTTTGCAATTGGATTGGTTTATTTACACGTGACTACTCCACTGTTTTAAAACCGAAGGATTGACATGGACCAATCAAATTTCATAATTCTTTGTTTGGAAATATCCCTGACCAGGGACCCGATTTGATTTAATAAAAAATTCTATCGCTATCGTTAAAAGTAAGTGCACGACTAACATTAAAAGATGAAATTGGAAACCAAATACGTATATGTTATGGCTATATTAAGTGGTGGTGGTAATTTACATGAAATTTGTTCCAAAATTCATACAACCTACATGTATTACATTCAATTTTCTGCTAAATTGCTGTGCATTTACGTGAGCTAATGCATCAATGAGTAAATTAATTAACGTTAATGATTAACGATTACATATGTTTTTGCATAAACAAGTCGAGAACTTGTTTTTTTTGCGAGTGTATAAAAGTGTTTATGCGTATTAGCGTTAGTAAGAAAAAATGTAATTGATTTATAGATGTTTTGAGTAACATTTTGTGGTATTGTTAACAAGTAATAGGGAGCAAATTAGGTTCATGTATCATCAGAGATTAATCGAAAGAAACTACGTAAATCTCAAGAAGAATAACAATAATAAACCTGACAAAAGCACAATCAAAGAACAACAATATTAATAATTAAAAAAGAATGTCATCACGCTATTATCTTCTTCATTATTCTCCACAAAAAACTACTCATCGCAATAATCCTAGCTTTATTCCGCATGCGATAAAAGTCAACGCTATCGTTGGAAGCGTTTCTTATTTTTGATGCTTGGTATGTGTGTGTGAATAATGTTTTTTTTTTAAATCTCTTTTGTCTTGTTAAATTGATCATTAATTGTATTATCAACACACAATTATCATTTGAAAACCAAATTGCGACAAACCAAGCTCGCGTCCAAATTCTCACACTAAGCTTTTAGTCTGCGTTATCTATCGTTTATCGCGTTCTTGATTTGTGCTTTTATGCCTGGCTATGTAGGTCACTGTGATGACTTGCAGTCTTGCGTCGTATTATTATTCGATCGATGCTGACTTGTTTATGGAATGATTGATTTCGCATATTTTTGATAGATTCATATACTCGCAAGCTTATTGACATTACATGTAACTTTTCAAAACTTGTAGAAAACATTATACAGGGAAACAATGCTCCGAGTTTTCCAAATTAAGCGAGTAATTAATTTAAATTCAATAACGAAATATGTCTAAACTCAACTATTCTATTATTTATCTTAACAGTCAAAGCTTGCCTATATATCATATAAAGTTAAAACAATTCACACACCATATGCAAATCTCGCATCATACGGTATGAGCGGCACAAAAAGCAAAAAAAATGGAGCCATACTAAAAATAATGGTAAAAGAATTCATTTATTGAGAGACGATAAACTCATATAAATACAAGTGTACGTTTATTTCTTCTCTTTACAATTGCTCTTCTTTCTTCATTATTTTTACAAGCATTAATATTCTCTCTCCTACTCCCTTTTCATACATGAAAAATGACAACACAAATAGTACTTCATGACAAAAAACGCGTAGAAACCGATCGAACCAGATGCGAACGCGACTTAACCGTCACAGCCACAGAAAGATGGATGGGAAACTCGCTCGCGCGTGGTCTTTTAGGTGATCGCCAAAGATCTGATTGGAATTTTCGTGCGCTAACAACAGATGCTGACGCCGAGCCGCTTGATGATTTGAGACGCTTTGGCGCAGAGGTTGTTGAAATTAATTATGAAAAACAAGAGACATTAGAAGATTCGTTACGGGGAACCGAGTTCCTTATATTTATCGCAGAAAGTGACAGAGATCGTGTGAGACAAGCGGAAGCTTTGGCAAGAGTAAGTTTATTAATCACGCTTTTTTGTTAATTAATTTTTACAACAAGTATAATTGTATAGGCTGCTAGAAAAAATGACGTCAAAGGAGTTATTGTGCTCTCAGTTCGAGGAGCGGATGAAATAAATACAAAAACTCACCGCGATTTTCGAGAAATAGAAAAAATTTGGCAAGCACACGTACCATGTGTTGCGATATTTAGGTAAACATAATCAATTATCCTATTTATTTTTCTTATTAACTCAATTTTGCACTTGCTCACAAAATATATTCACTTTGATAACAATAGATCATCATTCATTGATCAAGGTTTTTTCATTTGGTCACAAACCATCAAAGAAGATGGATCACTCATTATGACACTTCACGAACGAGATCCATTCACACCGGTAAACCTTGACGACGTTATCCGCGCCATCCGAAGCCTAGCATTCTACGAGGGGAAACTAGTCGACGCGCTCGACCGAAGATACCATCAAAAGATTTTTACGTTGACTGGTCCAGATGTTGTCACTCCGCGCGATATCGTCGCTGCTATTAATGCTGCGGTTAGACGAGATATTCAAGTAGAGTATGAACGCGTAGATCGATACGAACTTTCCGACTACTTGAAGAATTTGCATAGATATGAAGATGACGATGAGTACGGTCGTGAACGTGGTCTCTCGCAACGAACGGCCGCGATCCTTGCACAACGAGGATTTGCACTTTTACATGAAGCCATTGCTGATTTCATTAAAGGAAACGAACGTACTTTGGAGAAAGGTGCAAACACGTTCTTTAACGGAATCAACATTCTTGAATCTGCTCGGAAATTCTTCGATGACGCAAATCCCACTGTCGACAATAGAAACTTTTCCATTAACAAAAATTTTTCCGACCATATTCTGAAAAATCAATTCCAACAAAACACCACATTAACCAATAAACACCATATACGCGATACCATTGCATTGGAACACTTGAAATCATTTGGTGTGGAGAAAATCGCGACGTTGAATGCGGTAGAACGACATTCAGTTATCGTTGAATTAACCAAAGTTATTGAGTCATTTGAGAAAATTTTATTGCCATCTACACTTCTTAATCTTGATATTGGCGATTATTATCCTCGTCCGTTTCTTCCGCTTTATCACACCGAAGTTGAACTTATGCAAGTATTTGAATTTTGATTATATTGGAATTGTGTTATATAATGAACTTCTGATTAATTTAGTGGTTTCACTTTTTTAACTTAGTCTTGACATGCTCGAACACATAAAACAAGGAGAAACGGGTCGAACAACTGATGACATATTAAGACTGACAGATCGCGTAGCTGAACCGATCGATTCATTCTTCAGGGTAAAATTTATTTTTATCATTTAATAGTCGGTTATTAATACCTAATGAAAAAAATTCGTTTATTCTCAGGAGAATAAAGAAGCATTTGCTCCCGATCACGACAACCATGGTCGTCGTCGTCGTCCCGGACACCGACTTCGACGTGGTCGTCGAGACCGAAGAGGCAGAAATGACGGTAGACGCGACCGTGATGGACGTCGTGACCATGATCGCGATATTTATTTCGATCAAGACGAGCACGCTATTAGAAAGAGAAATTTCGAGCTAAGACGTAATAGTAGATTGTAGTTTTAGTTTTTGTATAATGATACTAAGAAATTTAAAACTTAATTCGGATAAAATAAAAAATGTGTTAGACTTTTTGCTTTTTTTAAAAAATAAAACTATAAATATCTCAAACATAAATAAATCAAACGATTTCGCTTTGATAAATACACTTATTTCAATAGTTAAATTAGGATAATACTCGCATATCGATATTATCTCCACTTTCCTTTTTCGAAGAATATGTAAGAAAATTTAACGACTGTCATGTATTAATTAGTAAAATGATAAAAAAATTTTTGTCATTTAAACACCTCAACATTACAAATCACTGTATTAATTGAAATTAAATTTCTAATCGTAATTAATTCACGTTAAAAATTCTTATCTGAGAAGTAAATCCAAATTTTAACCAGTAATATCAAAAAAGTCTTTTTTTATATTACTGTTAACAAGTTGATAGAATTTTTAACATGAAACATATTGTCGATTTTAAGAGTTCCTGCATCATATATTCGTAACATACGTACTTATTTACGTACTTACAAAAATATATAAAAATAAAAATAATGAACTTACATTTATTACATGTATAGGTATTATCAAAATTAGTTTTTACGTAGTTGAATAACGATAATAATAATAATACCTTAACGTTAACGTTTTTCGCTGTCGAGATTAATTAATAACGATAATCTATTTATGTAAAAATGAAGTCACGATTCCTTTTATGTTACAATCTCGTCTGGTGTAATGATAAGTTTGAGCGCTTTATATACTAAAATGCCAAGTCTGAGATCGTAACAGTAAATTTAATATCTTAAAATCGCTATGATTACTTTGTTATCGTTATGTTTGAAATGACCATGATTTAAAAGCGGAAGAATTTTTTATACTGGACCAAAGACGGATACCGTATATTACTGTATAGAATACCCCCCTAATAGTGTATCCCCCTAATAACGTACCCTCCCCAGAATACCCTGAAAGATGAGACAAATTCAGCAAAACTAGCTTAACATAACATTTTAAGACAAATCAATATTCTTTATAAGATTATATTTAATAATAATTATGGTATATTACTGTATAGAATCCCAGGTCTAAATCAATTTTGACAGGCGAAAACTCTTGTGTACATAATCTACATCTCAACTTCAACGGTAATGTTGAAAAAATTTATTATTACGTCATCGAAAAAGGTAAAGGATTATTTGATTAATTATGTCGTAAGTAGGAAGATTATATAAATATTTCATAATTTATTTATATTATTACATGTATAAAGAATTACATAAATTACAGTACCCCTTAAAAGTACTGGAACTTTGTTTTTATGAACTTTTCAGAATATTGATGAGTGAATTATCTTCTCAAAATATTAATTGAATCTTGATATCTAAAGTTTAAAAATGGATAAGAAAAAGTGGTAAATGTTAAACTACCAATTAGAATAAATTTCTTCAAAATTGAAAGATTCAACCATTTCAGGAGCTCGA